TTGTGCATTACAAGATGTGTTTCCCTTCCAGAAGATGTTCCAATAATTAAAGTCTCCCATAAGAACCAAGTCTTATGATTTGGAAGCTTCTGACAGTTGTTTAGAGAACACTTCAGCCACCTCTTCCTCTTGGTTTGGTGGCCGATACCAGGTGCCCACTATGCTGCCTCCCCTCTGCTCTGCTGCTCTCCCCTCTAACCCTTACTCAGAGGCTTTCAACAGGCTTACTACAGAATACATGTACCTCTCCTTTATATGCAGGGCAATAACTCCTCCCTTTTTCCCTTGCCTAACCTTCCTGAACCAGTTATACCTGTCTGTGACCATACTCCAGTCATGTGAACTATCCCACCTCACCTCTAATCCCAGTTACATCACATGGGTCAACATTTTTGTCTTTAAAGTGAAGTATTAATTTAGTTTTAATACCTAAATTGCATTTAATTTCTGTGCTGTCCTTACTGGATAGTAGATCTACTTCATTTCTTGTTCTCTTTTTCTGTGTTTGACTGAAGAAGCGTATGTCATTTATCTAATTATGTTTTGCAAGGTTGAACTCGGCTTGACTTTTAGCAATCATCATTTTATAAATATATTTCTTGACCGCTAATATATAGCTTTCTTTACTGACCAGTCATTTTTTCCTATCTGTCCTTATTGCAGTTTCTGGGATAGGTATTCATCCAGTTACATAAAGCCCTTTCCTGCATTTCTTTTCTTTCCTGATTTGCAATGTATATACATTCAGGTTTAGTACCTTCGGCCTGAAGAAATTTCAGGCCTCTGCCACAGTCTAGACCCTGAGCTCCTCAATCTTGCTGATTTCAGATTAGGTGTACTTCTTCCACTAACTGCAATACTAAACTACTGTTTTTATTAACATTAGTACTTTTTTCCCCTATCCATCCTTCTACTCACTGCAAGAACTTCATGCATTGTCTTCCTCATATATTTGAGTTCTTTCTTCCCTGTGTACTGAAACCAGAAGTGGATGTTACACAGGTCTCTCCCAAATTCTCCCCTCATTTCTTAATCAGTCTTGCCAGCTCTGACCCAAGAAGGATATTTCCATATGTCTCAAAACTTTCTTTTTATCATAAGCTATTGAGCTTATGATAATATTCATATTAACTGCCTGTCATTCCTTCTTATCTAAGAAGCAGAAGAATACCACTTTAGGTCACCTGAACCTAAAGGTGGGGTAGGATGGCAATTCCCCCAGGCTGGTGCAGTCATCCTTGACAGATCCCTATCTGCAGCATAATTTGTCCCCAAATGAAAAAAAATGAATAGTGGATCATCACTGCATACATCTTTGGTAAACCCCTTCACAAACCCTACCGCCAAAAAAAAAAGATGCAGCAGACAGAGAAAAGGTAAAGAAATGACAGCATTTGATGATCAGGGGTCTGAAAGACTTCTTTCTGAGGCAAGACTAAATACTAGGTCAAGACTTTTCAGCTTAACAAAAGATGAATGAGGGGGGGATATCACAGAGGTCTACAAAACCATGAATAGTGAGGAGAAAGTAAATAGGAATGAATAATTTGCTCACTCCCACCATACTAGAGCTAGGGAACATGTCATGAAATTATTAGGTATCAGGTTTAAAACAAACAAATATAAGTTCTTTTTTACATGCGTAATTAAGGTATGGAACTCTGCTGCAAGATGTTGTGGGGGCAGTTAATTTAACTGAGTTCAAAAGTGAATTGGACAAATCCATAAAGGATCCATCAGTTCGTAGTAAAAAATGATAGTAAGGGGGACAGCCTTCAAATTAGGACATACTAGACCTCTGAATACTGGAAGCTATAGATGGAGAGGGGTAGGGGCTGGATCATTCACAACATGCTTTTTCAATACTCTCTTTCTTAGTATTTCACACTGCCACTGTGAAAGACAGGATACAGGGCTTGATGGACCAGTGTTTTGACCCAGTATGGCATTTCTTATGTTCTTATGGATTTTCTACTACTGTCACCAGGTGGGGGGGGTTTCAGCCTCATGTCCACACTGGGTATCATTACTTTTGTCAGACAACTCATCTTTCAATCTCTTTCTATAAGTACTGACTCAAGAATACTGTACATTCAACAGATTCTCCATCAAGTCATCTTCATTGCCTCTGCAGTTCTTGAGGTCTACTACACAATTGTCACTAACATAGTTTTCTCCACCTTTAGAAGAAAAAAAAAAGAAAAACCTCCAAGGTTGCAAATTTCCATGCAAACTCTTCTGTCTACTGTCTGCTTTTTTGGCTTCTCTAGTCACCAGGCTTCTGTGGGACCAGATTCTTAAACTAATGTTGAGGTGAAGTAATGCCATTATAATCATGAGTTGCACAGGATTTAAAGATGTTCTGAGAGCAGAATTTGGTCCATGGTATTTTTCAAATCCTTCTGTCAGAAGCACATTATTTCCACCCCTCTACCAAGGATTATTTGTGGAGGCTGGAAGTGAGAGTCACTTTTGGGAGGGTTATGAAAAGAGGAGGGTCTTCATTCACCTCCTGAGTGGTCACAGATTAAGAATAAGTGGGATGAGCAAGGGCAAAGAGAAGACAAGACATACCATGTTTACTCAAATACAAGATGACCCTTAAAGGAAGATGACCTTCCAATATGAGTTTCTACATGCAAAAAGTGTATAAATTTATTATAGTTTTCCATGTGTGGAATCTAATCATTAGAGACTCACCTTAAATACATCCCCTTCACTGCTGAAGGTGGTGGGGGAAGGGGTGATGAAGGGGGCAGTAATGGGGCAGATGGTAGGGGACAGACAATGGGAGAGGCAGTAAAAGGGAGCAGTAATGGGATAGGCAGTGGGGGGCAGACATCATGGAGGCAGTGAGAGAGGCAGGCAGCTTGCCTCCTGCTGCCTGCCCCCCTCCCCCATTTGCCCCAATTGTGCCTGCCCTACCTGCAGCCTCAATTTGCCCCAATTCTCTCTTGCCTTGCTCTGTACAAGCAGGCTTCATCCCTGCTGCAGCCCAAGGCATGGAGCATGGATCCAGCCCAGCCCCATAGCAGCAGCAGCAGGGAGCCAGTGCTGGAACAGCAGTGCTGGCTCCACACCACTGCTATGGGGCTGGGCTGGAGCCATGCTTTAAGTTTAGACTCCAGCAAAGATGGATCCTGCCAGTGCAGAGCAAAGGTAAGGAGGAATGTGGTAGAGAGGAAGTAGTGTGGGAAAAGGAGACTAGGGGCTTCAAGGGATGGGTGGCAGGGCATGCAGAAGCAGTTGGGGAGAGATAGGCAGCAGCTGCAGCCCTAGCTCCAACCACAACCCCAGCCCTGGGTTGTGGTGGGAGCTAGAGCTGCATCAGCTGCTCCCCACTCTCCTCATACTTGATTGTAATGTGAGGGGCTATTTCCCCCATGTTAAATGGTGGGGGGGGGAAGAATTCATCTTCTAAACAAGTAAATATGGTAATCAGGTGTGAGCTTGACAGGGAGGGAAAGATAGGATTGAAAAATGGTGAGGGATGAATGACATCCAATTGGATATCACACGGACAACATTTATAGCTAGATTCTCCGTTGGTATAAATAGGCACAGCTTGAGGATTTGGCCCCCATAATGAAAATGTGACTGAATATTTTTGAGAGAACCAAATACATTTTTAAAATCTGTCATTTGTTTATGGGGCATAGACACTTATTATAGCATCACATAACATTTATTAGAAAATCCAAATATATCCCCCATTACTTGGTCCAGTATCTATATGATCATTTATCTACAGTGAGTTTTACTGTAAGTGCGATTAGTTCCAAGAAGCAATTTCTCATGGCTGGGTTAAGTGTAATACTTACCATATTTTCTGTACAGATATATGCAGCATCTAACAGTCCAAATCACAAGCAAATGCACACATTCTACAAAGAAAACTCCACAGATGGGATCCCAGTGATCTCAAAAATCTTCCATTTCTAGTATAGATTCCTAATTTACACAGCCCCTCATTGACTTCAGTGGGGCTCTTATTTGATGATTCTTTTTCCTGAAGCAGGCCAAAAATAGGGAACTTGGGACTGAATGGTATTTACTGTTCCTTAAGACCCTGACATATTTTGTAACAACCCTAACAGATATATTTTTATTCAACATTCAGCTGAATCAGCTGAAATTGCAAATTTTGACTTCAGATCTCACAGAAAACTCTTTAAAGGGTTTCCAATTAGTTAATTTGGATGCACATGATCACCTATTCTGTTTGCACTGAATGCTTTTTGATCTAGTTTATGGCCAACACCTATGCTTAATAGTTTGCAAAGTTGGTAATCTAATGTGGGAGGAGTTACATAAACTGCTTTGAAACAGAAAAGAAAGTTTAGTTTAAGTTCCTCTTGGATTGGATGAAGGTTCAAGAGGGTTCCTCACACTTCCTTAATCAGCGTAAGTACTGCATTTAAATCAAATCAGGAAATTGGAACAGGTAAGGTTTGTGCTGTTCATGGTAATAAGGGAAAAAAATTGAAGTGGCTTTATGCAAATTGTTAGAGGCTCTTCACATGTTTCTTATGTCTTGTTACATTTGGTTTGCATGCACAGCACTGATACTTTTGTCAATGACTCGATATATCAACATTTTGAGTATCATCTTTTATTCATTCCTTTTAAAGTTATCGTCATACTCGGAAGCAATATGTTTCTGGAGGCATATTCAGAAAGCTTTGTCTTAATTTGTACCAACTATTCAGTTCAAACTCCTTCTGCGGTTAAAATCATTTAGAGTTTTATCATACTTCTGCTACATAGCTCATTAAAAACCATATGAAGCTTCCAAAATAGAATCCTGACTGCATGACAGTCCAAATTATTAAGTGATTATAGAAATCGGATCAAATAGATGATCAGAAGTTGGGGGGGGGGGATTCTGTTATTAGCTAGTCTATAATGACAGCATTTCTTATCTTACAACTGTGACATGAAGAGGGAGCTGTAGCTCTTCTGAGACACAGTTCTGCCTGAACCAGCGAACCCAGCCAAGCTCCCCGATCTCCTGTCTTCTTTCTCTTTCTCTCCTTCTGTCTCCTTCTCTTTCTCTTGTTCGTTCTCTCACTCACTCTTCCATTTTTTGCCACTGTGCCAGTTAATTTAAATGTATCTGTTCAAGTGGAGATAATCCATGCAAATCAGAGTCACTGGCTCCCAGTGCTTGATTCACAAAGAGAACTCCGCTTCAGGAGGTCACTCGTTCACAGCTGCTCCTCCCATTATATTTTTCCCTTATTGCAGAACTGCTGCATGTATACAGTGACTGAAAGGACTCAATTTACTGCAACTGCTGCCTGGTTTTACTTACAACTTTCTGTAAAGGGAGACTTACCTTCTGTCTGTCTTGTTAAGGTAGGAAGTCTGATTCTTCTAAAGACATGTAATACCTCCACTGTTTTCTCATTATCAGATGCCACTATAGCGATGCATATTGTTGTCAGCATTAGGTCCTAACTGGATAATGCCAGGTGCTTGATGCTTTTGTTACTTATGTGTATAGGTGCAATTGTTTAAATGACTGTTGTTCTAATGTTTACTTAGCCAGTTTTTATCCTTTTTACAGTATCGGGCAAGGTCTTAATACAAAGTCTCTGATCGAGAGATGCAGTTTTCAATCAAGTTTATTTTTTTAATGTTTTTCTAATCTATGTGTAAGTTGATGCAGTGCTGTCTTCACCAAGTGGAAAAATTAATATTGTCAGGGATTTCTGGCCTTGAACTTTATTAGACTATTATCTCTGGAGCAGAACAAACTGTTGAAATGTTTTAAACAAAAAATAAAAAGGTCACCTTTTACTTTGCACTGTTGTAAACAAGGGAAACTGAAGGCCTTGCTGGAAATGGGCCTGTCAAATAAATTTAAGCCACAAGATAAACATATTGTTAATAGAATTGCCAGTGGTAGTGGAAGTAATGAAATGGAACCATTACAGTTATGTGTTAATATCTATTGTTTAGAAATGTTGGACATGCAATACTTGCTGCAAAAAAAAGTGCAACAGAATCTCAAGAAACTAAGTGGACATAATTCTTATAGAATTTGTTTAAAAAAAAAAAGAAAAAGGAAAAAGAAAATTTAGGTATTATTTAATTAGTCTCAAAGTGTATGAAGCAAGAAATATGAGACTGAAGCATTTGAAAGTACACACTGATTTTATGAAGGAGGACGGTAACTCTGGCATTACTTCATATACATTTCTTAAGATGTGCTGGCAGAATATAGGGTTAAATCTGAAATGTGCCTTTAGTAAGACAACTTTAGATATATTCACATACAGTAAAATAAGAGAGACATGCAGTATAGACATCACAGTAGTAGAATGTTTTCCATGCACCCTTGTCCCGCCATAAAAGTTGCTGTTCATTACCTAAAACAGCTGGAATTAGTAAATAACAATTTATTTTCTTCCCCTCACTCTTTTTCAGTAGACTGCCTATATAAATAGGACCTGATGAAATCACAGTAGACTGAAAGTTCTGAAACACAACAGAAATGAGACACAAATTTGGTAAAGCAAACTGGACAGAAAGAGGGGGCCAGAAAAAAGCCTTCCTTACTTTCTTGAATAATATTGAAGATACAAATCTTCAGTTTCATCTTTGGGGAATGGATACTTTTAGGCTTCAGCAAATGTATTTGCTACCATTATCACAGTGCCTAAAATATGCATCTTTTCTCTTTGATATACAGTCTGCTTTTGTAAAAAATGTATTCTGATTTTGGAGTATAGTACAAACCAAAGGAGCCTTGTCATTGTTAGCATAAAGAAGACATCTACACAAGTATTACTGTGCAGAGGGCAATCTTTCTTTCTCTGGCATTTGTTAGGTTACTGTACATAGAATTTAGCAGATAAATATCTTCTGCTTCCTGGCATTTTAGTGATCCTATTGGTATGCAGACTGGTCTACTAGGATGGCAACTGGAAAAAGAAATATGTTTTATAGCAGTGTGTAATAAAAGCCCTTCACAATGATGTAAGTGGAGTCTGACCTTTCTTTCTTACCCGGTAATTAGAATTTTTATTAACTATTTCAAGTGCAGAGTTTTTTAAGTAAATTGACGTTACCTAGGAGGAAACAGCATGTATGTTTCAGCTATGTGTTCATAAACAATGAATTGTAGCAATACTTCCAGATAGAAACAAAGAAAGAAAGATTTCTTCATGCTACTTCCTGTACATAAAGTGATTTTAATTTATAGAAAGGAAGGTGCTGTGCAAAACCATTCTGCTAAGGAACAAGAATATTTATAAGATGATGATGGTGATTATTATTATTATTTTAGTATTAACCCAAAAAGCGGGGGGGAGTGTTGGGGAGAGAGGGAGACAGAATTATCTTTAGGAAAACTAAACTTCAGAAAAGGCATATTGGAGATTTTTTATTTGACTGATTCTCTGGCCCAGGATAAAGTTGGGGAAGTAAGGGTGATCCCTGTGGAGTCTGGTAATACAGTAAAATGAGATTAGATGAATCAATACTGGAGATATGACAAGGGGACGAAAGGGCCTTCCAGAGGAAGATTTTTTTTTGTAAGTGGATTAAAAAAACCACTGTAGCAGACAGTTATTTCCTACTTCCTTTCCCTCTTCTACCAACTAACCAATGTTTTACACATATGGAAATATTTCCTGGTGAGTCATAATGATCTTTTCAGAGTTATTTCCAAATGATACGAATGATTCTTTTAAGTTCACTGAGCTTACATCATCATGATTTGTTGAATTGATTGGTTCCCTGAAATAAAGGAGATGAGGGTCAGTCTGACATATTATCTATGTCTCTGAATTTTTATTTGTAAATCTCCCAGGAAGCTCTCCAAAGAATTCACCTTTATGTTAAACTTCAAGTTAGTCTGCCTAACAAAATTATTACAGTTCTTCTACCCCTAGTTTCTGTTTTATACTACCAATGGTTTCTTCCTTTTCATTTGTGAGCTTGCCATTGCTATAGTAACCCACTCAAACGCCTCTCCAAGATAAGTTACATTTTATTCCATTTTAGTGCACCTTGAAGCAGAATCTATAGGATGTGGTAAACTGTGTAGCCATATATAATATAGTGCACTTACTCCCTTCAGACGCTTTACTGCTAGTTTTACAGAGAACAGTTAAAAAGATAAATTATCATCTTAAAAGGATGCTGTATGGATTCTTAATAAATTCCATCCATCCAACTTCTTAAAGGTCTAGTAGGTCATAGTTTTGAGCTGGTAGGTAAACTTACAGTACTGTGTCTTAAAAATATTCGAGGGAGAGGGAGGTGGTATTTGGGGAAATAAGGGACCGTATGATAGATCATTTAAGAAAATACAAATCTGCATAGATTGGTCAGAAAGAAACTCTACAAATTTATCAAGTGGTGAGATGCAATGGCTGATTTGCCATAGCTGCACAAAAGAACATGTGGCCCAAGTTTTCTCATCAATTTCTCTTTAATTATATCATGCTCTCCTTTTCACAATACTTCTCATTGCTTCCTACCCATGAATGTACTATTCTAGTATCATGTTCCAAACTTCAGGCCTTTTATTCATGATAAAAATTAGTGCTATTGGAAGAAAATACCTCAAGGGGTTAAAAGCTGAATCAGTTTTGTAATTGATGGACTTACCTACTGACAACCTTTGAAGCTCTTCTCTCTCCCTTTTTTTTTGTCTAAAGAACAAGATTGACATTCATTTTATGAGTTGGGAATTCTTCAGTGGGTGGAAGGTTCTTGGTAGTAACTGAAATTAACCTGAGGCTTTGTCAGTCTACCCTTTCTTGAAACTTCATTGAAGTTTTAGTAACAGTTAACATTTTTATGCGAACAACCATTCTTATCAGAACACTGCATTCTTCTGTCATGTCATACCTTTCTTTGTAATTTTTGGATATGTTTAGAGGTGGGCCCTTTATTCCCTTACATATCTATCTTTGTTTCAAGAAGTCTAAATGAAAATTTTCCCTGTTGAAATGCACCAAAGGAGAGACAGATAAAAGAAAATAAATGGAGTGGAAATGCATCTTTAAATGGTTAGCCTGAGAAACATTGAACATGGTTATCTGACATTATGTCAGAAAGTGTTATCTCTAGAGGAGAAATGAGCAAGAGCAGGTCCATATAGAAAAGTAATTGTTACTTTACTTCTGTCTGTTTATTTGGGTTAGCTTGAACTGTCTCCCACTTTTTTTTCTCTCCCAGTGTGAAAAGATCAACTATTACAAATGCAGCCAGTAGGAATTTGACTCAAAAGCTATGCTCATTTGACCTCTGGATACAAAATATCTAAGATAAACAAAACTCTGAACAGCTTCCCCACATAATAAAGTGCAGAAATATGCAGAACATAGGTCCATAGCAATTTAACAATTTTAGAATAAAGACAGAAAATTGGTCTCACTGTTAGACTAGCATTTTATTTCCCAGATTCTCTTCTAAATGGCAAACACTGGATTTGTCTTGAAAACAGTACCCAGTACATAAGATGAAAAACCCTTGGCCAAATTGTACATGGCTTTTCCTCAGTGAAATTAAAATGGGTGGGAGCAGTGAATCAGCAAAGAGATGCTATTTTAGCCGTGTAGCTTAATATTTCCATTTCCAAAAGATAAAA